GGCCCAGGAATAGTTATATGTTCTGCTGTGTTCTGGTCTCCAGTGTCAGGACGAGTTGTCCACTCACATGAGGACCGGCACCGGGCATCTGACGGAGGACGAGTTGGCCGAAGCTCTGGGTGAGATGAATCTCCGCACAGACAGGACACAGATTACGTCTTTCATCCGGCGCTCCGTAACTCTGACTGGAAGAAGCCCCATCCCCCTCCGCAGTGCGGCTCGTATCCTGAGAGCTGAGGGCCCGATGCCCCCCGGGGTGAAGGGGTCTGCAGACGTTGCAGCCAATGTACGGGGGAGATAGACCTCCGAGGAAGAGGGACCGTACGAGACCCGGACCTCCGAGGAAGAGGGACCGTACGAGACCCGGACCTCCGAGGAAGAGGGACCCTGCGAGACCCAGACCTCCGAGGAAGAGGGACCCTGCGACACCCAGACCTCCGAGGAAGAGGGACCCTACGAGACCCAGACCTCCGAGGAAGAGGGACCCTACGAGACCCAGACCTCCGAGGAAGAGGGACTGTCCTATGAAACACGTCAGCAGGAAGTCTCTGATGACAAAGGGGCGTGGCCAAGCTTGACTTTTACAAGTTGAGATCTGCACGTAATTTCAGCTGCCGCCATCGTCTCCAGACTGAATGATTCTGACATCCGGCGTCACTCCGCATAACCTCTGCTGATGGATCTTCTCATCCAGGACTCTGATGTGCTCAGATTTGTGGTGCGGAATAAAAACAATGTCCTCTACACTCATTGAAGGGTTCTGTTTGTAGTTTCTTATTCTCGGGTCACATGGGGTGGGGGGAGGGGCTTTGGAGGGACAGAGAGATGTCTGTATACAATTCCGGAATAACATTTTGTTTGCTGAAACATAATTGGCTGAAAATGCGCAAGGTACCATATTTCGGCCGGAATTGTGGCGCATGGCTGGTTCCTCCCCTCTGACACAGCGCCGGAAGCCTAGCGGGGCGGGGAGCGATGTCATTGTTGTTACAGGAGGCTGGAGCTCTCCTCCTGCTCCTCCACTCAGCTTCCTGTGGCAGAGCGGCGGTGTGGGGGCGGAGACAGTGGTCAGCTCTCACAGGAGGCCCGGCCGGTGGTGCAGAGGAGGGGAGCTCAGTCTCCTGTGACAGCTGACTTCTCCCCCCACACTGCTGCTAGCTCCGCCTCCTGTGACAGCGAGTCCAGATGGAGAGCACGTGATTGCTGACTGTTTGTAAATAATTGAGGACATGAGTATGGTTACTATATCCCCAATTATGAATGAACAGGAAGTGCTCAACATCACTTCCTGTTCATTCATAACCGTGTCCTCAATCTCCCGGAGCCCCCGACAGCAAAGTAACAAAATAACATTTATTAACAAAAACGTTAAAAACAATAATTTTCGGTCTGACGTTTCTTTATTTTCGGTTTCAAAATGTAATTTAGGTGCCCCTCTAATAAGTGGGAGCCCGGCCGGGCCCCTCCCTACATATCACAGTTACATACATACAATGCTATGTACATAGTGCAGCACTACATGTAGCCCATATTGCTTTTGGTCTCCCATCTCTTCTTGGCCTCAAACCTAAACATGAGAAAAGAGAAAGTGATGAATATCCGTGTGAACGTGCCGCCAGTCCTCAGACAGACGGGGGGGCGTTACACTATCCACATGCCATGTAAATAAAGAGAAGGTAAGATTTCACACACATGCCACATACAC